ATAAAGTTATGACCTCATACAATTCTGCACTTAATATTGAATCTTACATTGTATTAATGACGGGAAATGAATATGTAATATTTCAGCAGCTGATTTTATCTGGTCCCTGAACTTTTTGTGTTATCCTTGCAGTTGTTATACTGCCTTTCGTGTGGGAGGACAGCTCAAAATTCTTCATATGAAAAACTTAAAGTGTAGTGACTTTGTCATTGTAGGTGAACATTAGTTGCTGTCAAATGTGGAACAGTATTTTGCTCCTTTTGATTTTACGTGTTTGAACCATATAAAAATGAGAGCACGGAGAAGACTGTTGGGCCTATCGTGTGCGTTGCAGCAGTTTTAAAGGGTAGTCCGTACAGTCTAGCGTTTTCTTTTGCTTTTACTACAACCTTTCCCATCATGCTTTGGTTAATTTCTATTTCATCTTTCCTTCCCACCCCCTACCATATTAGTCTTGTGAAAATTTGGAGTCCTGTAGCTCAGTGGTTAGAGCACTCGCTTTGCAAGTGAGAGACCTGAGTTCAATTCCAGGCAGAGGGCGAAACCTTGGGCAAGTTTCCTTACTCCACACACCTAATAATAATCCCTCCAAAAAAAAACAATAATAAATTGGTCATTTTCAATCTACGACTGTTTGTGGGACATTGCTGTGCGCAATTGGCTGCCGCGTTCGCCCACAAATATACAGTCAGTTCACTTTACAGTGTATTCTGTGAAGCGCTTTGGGACGTCCTCCCGACGTGAAAAGCGCTATATCAAATGCGAGGATTATTATTATTATAGAGATTAGAGCACCTGGGCTCGATTCCAGGGCCGGGTGAAACGTTAGGCAAGTTTCCTAATTCCACACGTCTCTGTTTACCTAGCAGTAAGTAATAACCCGGTTGTTAGTCGATTGGCGGATCACTTTTCCAGGTGTAATAATCCCTTTTTTTAAAAATAAATTGGTGCTCACTCAATCCACAACTGTTTGTGGGACACTGCTGTGCATAATTGGCTGCCACAATTCGCCCACAAAATATACAGCCAATATACACAAAATATTCACTTTACAGTATATTCGGTGAAGTGGTTTGAGATGCCTCGAAGATGTGATAAGGCGCTATATCAATGCAAGGATTACTATTATAGTTTTAGTTTCAGTTATTTTAAAATACATTATGTCATGTTCTGATTATTGTTCATCACCCACAGTGGAAAAACAACCAGGATTCTGACTAAATTTTAATGTTATTTTCGGATTAAGGAGAAACCCCTGTTGCATAAATTTGCATTTCAGCCCCCGATAACTTTTTTTTGGTCGTGAGTCGAAATTTGTTTTAGTTTTGGGAATGTTCTGTTTAGGAACGGATTTGAAGATTTTTGCACCCTGAAGCTAAAATGTTTGAATTTAACACTTTACATTTGTCCCTGGATTAATTTCAGTTGTATTTTGTCTGCTTGTAATAGTTTTCACTATTTTTGAGATGGCCGAAAAATAATGGGCTCGCTTTTGGTTCATCTTGTCCAGCTTGCATATTCTGTTAAATACATCATGTTAAGCATGTAAAAATGTAATGTTTTTGGGGAGGGCAAGAAACAACCTGATTTAAATGCACGGTACTTAAGCAGTGCTATATATATTGGAGATTGAGGATAAGATGACTTAAGTTTGAAGGAATACTGTTTGTTGAGTCCATATTGATCAATTATTCTCCACAATCTCTAGGCATTTAGGTTACTGCTACTTAATCATTTGTACAGCTGTTGGGCAAAAAATTGTTTTGATGAAGAATTCAACTTTTTTTAAAAAAAAATGTTGTGACAGCAGCTTCACTTCAGTCCTACAAAAGTTCATTGCGAGGTGGTGCAGCAGTAGCACGATGAGTGAACTTTCAGTAATGTTGAGAGAATTGTTGCTTAATATTGTTGTTACTTGATGGGATTAATTAATTCAGAAATGAATTGATGCAAATGACATCAAGAATCTAAATTGCTTTTTTTTTTACAAAATAAGCAAAATACCCAATCTTTGTAGCACATTTTTTGCCCTGGATCGGTTTAAAGATTTGTTTGGTAAATTTATAATAAATTAAGGCACTTAATGAAACGTGGTTGCTGGAAAGTCAAACCACACTGAAAAGCCCTTCCCTCTGAATAATTCTGTATATGATTAAAAGTTAGCACCATTGGTTTCATGATTCTTTCCATTTTACCACATATATCGATGTTTCTTCCTTGTAGAATGCTCTGATTTCTTAATTGCTATATGTGGCCTGTGATGCATCACTTGTTATAGAAAAGGACATTGAGTCTAATATGTATATCAATATTGTATATTGTTTTTAAAAATAGAGAATTCAGGTCTACCAAAGTCTAATTGGATTAGCTCTGCAACAGTATGGATACCAACCATTCTAATTTGAAATTCTAACCATCTATTATTTAAAGACGGGAATTTGCCTGTAAACAGGCAATACGCAAGGTAATTGTCACCTCGTGGGGTCAACTTAGTTCAGTTAATAACAATCTCGCGTCTTGAGTCAGAAAATGGTAAGTTCAAGCCGCACGTCGGGACTTTGAGCTCATTCTTTAGGCTCGACCTCCAATGTATTGCTGGAGTGCTGCATTATCAGATTATCAGAAGTGTCCTTCAGA